CAAGGAATTTTTTCTGGTGTACGATTAAAGAGGATCATCTTTGCGTTAAACATGGTAGTCCATCACCTTGAAAAATTAAACTGGAGCAAAACTTTTAGCCGTTCAGTGATTTTCTATACACACTGGTGAACTATAAACAGTATGAAAGTGAATTTAACTGAGTAAATAATCAATTTTAAAGGTTTTTGTGGTAAACAACTTATGTGTGTACGATAAATGTTGCTGAAAGCCAAAAAGATTGGAGTAAATGCCAGTTTTAAGATTTTCTTTTGAAACTAAACTAAACTAAATGGGCGGCGACCAACAAATATTTTGTGCCGGTTCCTGTATAGCAGTATCATTTTCAATCAACGTTTCTTTGATGATTTATTTCGCTTCCCTAATATTTAAAGTTTGCGACAACCATACACTTTCTCACTGTTTATATAATGAAATTACTTCAGCATCTTGTGTCTATATTACGCGTTTGCTTTGTTTTACATTCTGGTGGAAAAAAAAAAGATTAAAATGTAGTGAGAGATTGTGAAATTATCATCTTAAAATTAGCTAGTTGTATAATGAAAAACCGAAACAAAAGCTTCTATTTGAATTAACAGTTCTTGTTTTAATCTGGTTTTTCTACAATTCTTTTGCAGTGAAACCACCCCCGTTGCTCAAGAGTTTACATTTAATTCAACAAGAAATGAAAGGCGACTATGTCAATAGTTTTATGCTTTAAACAGTACGGCTGATGGCTTTGTAAGGAATTTTCTCCTTCCTTAGCGCGAGCCATCGCAGTGTAATGGAAAACACGTTTGGCTAGCAGTGAGGAGATCACCCGTTCGAGTCTTGGCGTAGGCACTTCTGTTTCTTTTCATATTTCCTGTTCCGAAATAAATCCAAAGACCGTACCAAATTAAGCTTGGAATTTTGGAAAGCGAAATCTTAAATTGTCAATTATTCGTGTTTGTTAACTGGTACAAATTTTGCATTTTTTACTACGGAAAGTAATAATTTTTAATTTGATTTCTAGAAATCTGGAATACAAAAATCTTAATCCAGAAGCGCCTTTAAGGTAACTGTGGGCTTCTGATGAAATATTTAATGCTTAAATAAGAGACACAGCAATCTACTGAAATAATATTTTCTTGGTATTTGGTTAACATTGCACAGAGGGAGGTTTTGGCGATTGAGAGCTGCTGCAGATAAAACTTATGGGATCCCTAAAACGTGTTTGCATACATATATATGTATGCTATAAAGTGAAATAGGACTTCACTATAACAAAATCTTATGCATTCATAATATGGGATTTAATGCTTAACTTCTTGAGAACTTGAGTTAATAATTTTATTTCAAAGTAAAGTGTATCTCAACTCTAAGGAGCATAATATCATATTTCTAAAGTTGCTTCTTACCCCTTTAAAAAAAACAGAGAAATTTTTTAAATGACTCGGAAACAGGAGTAATTAAAGTATTATCCATACAGTTTACTTCAATTGGGAAAGTTGATAATATTCCTGTTGGAGCCTAGTACTTGACGAATTTTTATGCGTCGCTATACTGCCTATTTATTAAACATACTGAATATTTATTGGCTATACTGAATGGCTGAAATGAAATTTTGTATCTTCTTTAAATACGGTAACTGTTAAAATCTATGCTTATACTTACTTCATTCTCATACATTACTTTTATTCTTCCCACATTGATTGATATCTTGTAAACAGTCTTGAATCAAAAAATATTTTTAAGTTTTACGTGTTATTCATGCATTCTTTATTTCTAAAAACAAATTTTGCAATCATAGTGTTAGAAATAACATTTAAAAAATGTAAAAGATACTTTCATATTTTTTTATTTTGGAATTATTTTTTATTTTGGTATTTTCATATTTTTTTATTTTGGAATTAGTTTTTATTTTGGCATTTTCATATTTTATATTTTGGAATTATTTTTTATTTTGACATTTTCATATTTTCGAACCTATGCATTTGATTGTATTCCTCAATAGTTAAATATTTCGTTGTATTTGCTTCTAAACTTACATTGAATAATCATCATTCAAATCGTTTAGCTGTATTTTCTGGGGAATTAGTTAATCTGACCCATTAAATAGTGTAAACACAAGTGTTGCTGTGGTTTGTTAGTAGGTTTGTTTGTGGTGTGTTAGTAATCCCGTATCTGCAAAATAGTGCTTCATATTATATTGACTTTAGTGCCATTTCATATTGATTTATTTTTCACAAAGGTATAGCTTCCATTATAGTTATTTTCTTTTTCCTATTTTCTAGCACAGATGTCAGACAGGAGCACTTTTTCATGATTATAATCGATTTTTAACGCGAGTACAACATATGCTCTTCCCAGCCATCTTAGTCTCAGATAATCTTCTGCTGTTAAAGCATTTTCACGCGTCTCTAGCTTTCCATAAAAAAAATTTCTTGAAATGAAGGGATGTCAAAAAATAGAAGTTTTGCGTAAGCATAAATGTCGAAGAAGAGAATTGCAGCTTTCCGCAGAAAATTTCTTGAATAAATTTAAAGACATAAATAAGGGCTTTAAAAAAAAAGATTAAAATGTAGTGAGAGATTGTGAAATTATCATCTTAAAATTAGCTAGTTGTATAATGAAAAACCGAAACAAAAGCTTCTATTTGAATTAACAGTTCTTGTTTTAATCTGGTTTTTCTACAATTCTTTTGCAGTGAAAAACCCCCGTTTTGCTCAAGAGTTACATTAATTCAACAAGAATGAAAGGCGACTATGTCAATAGTTTTATGCTTTAAACAGTACGGCTGATGGCTTTGTAAGGAATTTTCTCCTTCCTTAGCGCGAGCCATCGCAGTGTAATGGAATATCTAATGTAATATCTAATGTGTATCTGTAACCCTGAGTACTTTCCGGATATGTACTACGTAGAATGAAGATGAATGTCCTTCAGCTGATATCTGGGTACAAAGTGAAATGTAACTCTACTTCTATCCAATAAATCTCTTATGTTTTCATTGTTGAAATTAATAAGTAACGGTTCTGTTTAGGTGAAAATCTTTTGAGTAAAATACATTTATATGGTTTACGCTCTTTTGAAACTGCATGACAGAGTTATAATACAAATTCTTAATTAATTTAGATTTCGATATGGAAAGCTTTCTGCAAAAACTCTTATTCTTTTCAGGGAACATAAGCCAAAGACACTGTTCTTTTAATTCTATTCATTTCTAGACTCTAAAATTGGTCGTGCGAAAGACTTGCGTTATATACAAGGTGTTTCAAACGACAAGATTTTCTCGGTTGCAAAATTTTTACTTCTCACAATATATAAATATTTCATATATGCTATGATGGAGGGGGGAAATGCGTTTATACGTTCATTTGGATTTAGTGTGTTATATACGACTACCTTCTAAATAGAAGGGATGGCTTTGTAGAAGATTTTGTAAGGAAAAGTGGCTCGCATTCACGTTACTCAGATGCAAGTAGCAGTGGGCGGAACACCCATTGGTAGTAAAGTCCAGCCTCACTAACTGAACAGTTCCATAGCAGTTTTGAAAGAGAGAACCCAGGGGGCGGTATGAAAGTCTCCCATCCCTTTTCCCCTACCATCAACCTCTCGACCGAACTTTCGGCTCACCATGTATTTTAAGTGCCTTATTACCGCACAGACACTATACGCTTACAAACATCAATGCATTCTCCAGAATTCGAACCTGGACCTCATGGTACGATAACAAGCGTCACTAACTACTATACTGGCTGGGCGCCATTCACGTTACACATGAGGAAAACTACGAAACTCCTAGTTGTCATCCTGTCAGGATTTTAGGAAACAGGAAATCCAGGTTCTCTCTCTGGGATTCGAACCGCAGATCATCATCTTGCCAGAAGAATGTACTAACCATTTACTTTTCAAGATCAAGCATGGGGGAATGAGATAATTTTGTACAACACAGAGCTATCTAAATAGCTGGGAAGTTTAAAATGGGAATATCAAGTAACTGCATTATAAAACTAGTTTTCTTTTTTTTTTTTTTTTTTTGTTTTGTTTTGTTTGTTAATGTTGTTGTTGTTGTTATTGTTGTTGTTGTATCGCTATGCCATGTAAATAAGTTGAATCTCATTGACAAGTGATATTTTAACATTACCGCTTATCTTGAAAATCAACTAGAAAAAAGTTAACGCATGTAGAATAGAAAGGAACTTCAATTCTGTAATAAAAGGCTGCTGAAATAACTGCAACCGTAAACGACAACAACCAAAGTTATAATTACATTGTCTATCAGACTGCAGCAATACTAACCACCAGTGACGGGCTTTCGTACTTGCGTCCTCAGGCATACAGAACCTTGCATTCTAAACACAAAACACCATATTAATTCTGCAGTTTTTTACTTCCTTGTACGAAGTAAAGGAAGCATTTTAATCTCGAAAAATTCCGGGTATCATGTTTCAATGAAAATAATATATTTTGACCGCTCTCGAATCCATTTGAACGATGTTGTTGCGTGACACGTGTACGTACGGACAGAATAAAGGAATCTTTTTCAAAACGTATTACAAAATGGGCTTAACATGGATTCAGAAGAGATTTGTTTTGTGACGTCTGTAGGTACGTACGTATGTATGTATCTCGCATAAATCAAAAACTAGTAGACTCAGAACGTTGAAATTTTGTAAGACTGCTATAACATGCAGCTGTGCACCTCCCTTTTTGGTTGCAATCGGCCTCACCAAACGTATATAAATATAAATATATGTGTAAGATAAAAATATGTGAATCAAAATTATAATTTAAACTAACGGTAAACTCTCTAATTCTCCCTCTGTATTCTAAAAATCGTAATAACTTCTCTGCATTGCGTCATTTCAATATCATTCCCTTTTGCATGGCCTGCGCAGCGCTGATGACATAATAATTGGAAAGTGAAACTTTTTAACTCAAACCAAAACTTTTCTCTTCGTGTGCTTCCATATTCCATAAGTAAGCACTTCAGCTTCGCTCTTTACCCTGCTTGGACGCAATTTCGCTGGCATTCTTCCTATCGCAATAATATCAAAAATGTAAATGTTCTTGAATAGACACACTAGAGTGCCAAGTGATTGTGGCCCCAAAAATCAATTGCAAATAAAAATGGAATTAAAATCGCCTCGACTGACAAGTTTCTTAGGTATTACGAACTCAATATATAAGTAAGCTGGATATAAGTAAGCAATAAAAGTGCTCCGTCTTTTCCTTTCTATTATTTCATATATGTATATAAATTGCATAATTAATCATATATGTATATAACTTGCATAAGTAATCATATATGTATTAAATTAGGGTGCTATGGCCACCCTAAAGGTCTCATTGACGTACAGGTCCTTTAATATCACACGTTATTTTATTTAACGAATTACTAAATTTAACTGTTATTATTTTATTAATCATTTTAGATCTGACCTATAATTGTTATGTTCCTCTTTAGGCAAAGATTTTTGAATAAATAACATCTGTTGCTTTTAAAATATGTGCTTCACTTAAGAATATATCTTGACTTGAACTCGTGATTATTCAAATAGGAAGAAATTTTTACGGCATTTTAAAATTAAGAAAAATACTTGAATACTAGCTTCTTGACAATTTAAGTTTGTTCAAATAACATTATTTTAAAACAAAAATACAAAAGCTGCAGGTCTACGTGCAGTCTCACAATGAGAACTAATGTGAAAAAAAAAAGTCGTTAGGTCACAAAATCTGAAAATGCATTAATATTTTCCTTTTATAAATAGCATAAGGATATAAAATTGTGATTATTAAATTGATGAAAACATTATAAGTTAATTTTAAATAATGCACTTCAGTTTCATTTCTCTTTAGCGTTCTTCATTTTCTGTGCTTTCTTCCGTAATACTTCGATTTTCATTCTGCTCTTTTTTCAAATAAGTTTGTTATTTTATTAGTTATTTCGTTATTCTAGCTTTCTCTGTTATTTTATTTTCTAATTTTCTCTTCTTACATTCGCATAAATTGTAATATAAAGTGTGGGCGAAATATTTATGAAATTTTCTCTAGAACAGTCAGCATCTTTCGAAGGAAGGATCAGTGTTTAGAAAACAGAAGTCCACTGTTTCGATTATGTTTATGTTTTCTTATGAGCACTTTAGAGAAAAAAAATTCGAACTTCGGTTTTTTTTTTTTTTTTTTTTTTTTTTTTTTTAACTATAGTCTTCATAATTAATTTGGTCTGTTTCAGATGCTATTTGCTGCAAATCAATTTCAGAAACCTGTTTTACCCATAATTCTTATTTATTGTCAAAAATTACAAACTGATTTTCAAATTTCACAGATTTTGATCATTCTATTTTTATTTTACACAAATTTATTTTAAATTTTCATTTACTATTATTTATTTGCTTAAATTTTTTACTTTGATATCAAAAAATTGGATTTTTAACTTTTTGGGGGGGCCATTTTTGCAGGCTGAAATTATATGAAGTTTGAAAATTACCTCTAATTTTAATAATTTTTCTAGAATAAAATTTTTTTAATCAATTACACGTGAAAACGAAAACATTTTATTTTGTATCAATAGAATTGAATTTATTTATAAATTTATTTTAATATTTAATTTTTTTAAACGAACTTTACAGAAATACCCTATTACAGGAGCTTTCTATATGTTTTATCATCAAGACGAAAATAACCTAGAATAAATACTATTAAAACTTCGGATGCAGTTTCGGTTTCTCTACCGAATACAAAATATAATCCAAGCTTCAGTACTCCAAATTAATGCTTTGTGCTGCCATCTATTGGCAGTAAAATAAAATATATCCGTATTACATTCAATCGTAATATTCAAGAGAAACTGTTATAACTAATCCTTTACTAGCTCCCTCGCAAATTCTCCTCATTCTAAAAATTAAGAGCTAAAATTCAGGATCGGAGCAAAATTGCGTGCGCAAGTATTGCAACTTATAATTGTACTTTGTTCTGTTCAACATCATGCTTTCTGCAGAACTCTGATAAGAAAAAGGTTTCGAATTACTGTTTAGAATCCTTTATAAAAGTTTAAAATTATCTGATATTTATGAAAATTATATAATCAGGGCCTTCTTTCATGTGATGTTATCGTAAATATTCGTTATCGTCATAACGTATTAAACTATAGGTTTCAAATTAACTGTAATAAAATTTAAAACTACCTACATTAATCATAAAAGGTAACTTCAGTCATAAAAGGTAAATCATAAATCTTCATATGCGATACCTTTGTAGAGTATTCAGGGCTTAATTTCTAAAATTAGAAATGCCAGAGCCTTATAGAAGACTATCAGGAAGGAAACAATAAATAAATAGAATAACTAAAAACAAAAATAATTATATAATTCAATTAAAATTAAAAGAAATGTAAAGAGCTAATAGAGATTTCATAAATTTATTAAATTAATTCTAAATAGTTAATTAAAAAATAAATTATCGGACCTCGTCACAGTTTGGGCTCCGACTGGAATTACAAATCCACTCAGCTAAGTACTGCGGCCGATTTCTGTTTAAATTTAAGCCCTGATTATACATACAATGTACTATATCAAGTATGATAGACACAAAAACCTTTCTTTTTTTCAGCACACCAATAAAAAATGATAAAAACCATTAAAGCTTCACAAAGAAGAATAGTAAGAACTGTAGAAATAGTATCAGGATTATGGAAGGAAATTTGAACCGAAAAGTGTAGCTTTGAAAATAAAGAGGGAAGAATCCAAGATTTTCTGATCGCGATGTCCTATCGATATAATTCTAGACATCAAGCAGAAATTTTTCCTGTATACGTTCCGATAACAACGTTAGAATAAACGTAAGACGTCTCTATACAAGTGACAGCAGTGATCCGCCGCGTTTGGTTATACCGTTTCGAAAAGTGTGCAGGAGCTCGGCAGTAGGAAGTCATTATCGTGGCACGTGCATGACTAGGGTGATGTCTTTTAGTCCTTTCAGGAACGAAAAATTTACCGTCACCCATAAAGTCATTGCATTTTCTGGAAAATAAGCCTTCGGCATATGGATGGGGCGTTTCTTTCCTTAAAAGTCTCAACCTGTCTCCAAGGTTTGTGTCAGAGGGAAAGATAAGCCTATATTCAGAAGTTCGAATCGATTTTTAATTAATATTTATTACTAAAATAAAATTTGTTTGCTGAAATTGTGGTTAATTTACATAAAAGAAATGCCGGAGCCCTTTTATTTAAGGCTCCGTGCCCTCCGACTAAAATTCTGATTTATCTTAAAAACTGAGAAATACCGGAGTCGGGCTCCGGTGTTCTCCGGCGCAGTTTAAGCTCTGACATTGATAATCATTTATAAAGTGTTAATCATTTATAAAACGTTATTTCATTTCTAGTTCCTATGTTCAAAGGATGCTGCGGTGAAAAGTTTGAATATTGTATCATTAATCCTTTTGTGAGCAAATTGCGTTATTTCTATCCTATTTATTCATTTGTAGTTCAAATCAGCTTGTATTAAACATTTTCAGAGTTTATTAAGACACTACTTGAGCCTCTTTCCTTCTCACCCTGTTCTATCAAGATTTTTATTTAATGTCAAGAATTCCAGCCTGTCAGCTTTTTTCCTTATTATTTGCTTTTCATTTTCCTTTCCCCTCCCAAAAACATTTGATTGATATCAGAAATTTATTCTGCTTTTCTACTTGAATCCAGCTCTTCTTTGAAAGCTGAAATGAATTACAATTATGAATCAGGGATTAAATTCAGCCTCTGCTTACTGCTGTCCAATATCTGTGCTTCTCAGTTTTTGAAGGAAATCTTAATTCCTTCTGGAACTACAAGTAACATTAATACTCGGTTGTATACTTGAATACAATATAAGCAAAATATTCTGTTTCTAATGTAGCACTTCTTTTAACTGTTGGTAAAACGGTCATTGAAGCGGCAAGACTTAAATACCTGAAAAACAAATTTCCCATTTCGAAATGCTATTTCTTCCAAAAGAGAAATGTTTCTGGGCTTTGCTTATCCGATCAAGAAGATTTTGAATGAATTAAAAACTAGAATAATGAAACAATTTTATCTGACTGTGAATAACACTGTTGAACACTTTTTGTGCATTCTTGTTGTAACCATACTTTATTATTATTAATTTAGTTACCTTTCATTTATTTCCTTTTTAATTTCTGCTTTTTTTAAGATGCATTTTCTAAATTTAATTTATTGTTTTTCTTATTATCATTAAATTCATTAATATATAATTTTTGTTTATATTTTAACATTTTACTTAATTTTAATTATGAATTATTTGTTGCTTTAATTTAATTTAATTTGAATTATTTGTTAGCCTTTAATTTATAAATTTTTCTTCGCCATTTCTGACAATTTTACACAAAAATAAGAAGTACTTTCGGTACTTCTTATTTTAGAATTTAAACCCTGATCTAAATGTTTAAGAAATGGAATTCGTTGCACATTGTTTTAAAAAAATCAGAGTAGTTGAGAAAAAGTAACTCAAAGAATGAGATAAAGAGCTGAAGAAGAGATCATTGCCATAAAGCCTCCGAAATTCTGAAATATCTGACGACAGAAGAGAGTAATGCATAATGAAAAATAACATGACACATTGGCGTACACATGACTATTATTAATATACATTTGGCGCAGATGTTTCATTCCTTTCTCGTCTGATACATTTCTTAAAAAAAAAAAAAAAAAAAAAATCTGCGTTATTTCTAATTTTGCTTTCAGGTATTATGTTAATCGTCGATACGCGTAACATTTTCTGGCATTTTTTCTGTTTTCTTTTCTACTTGAAACATAACAGAGGAAATTATCTAGTCTTATTAAGAAATTTACTGATGTATTTGCGGAAGGGGTTGTCCCATCACCAGCCGAGTGGTAAAAACCACTGAATGGCGGTAGTTAGACTAACCTTAAATTTCGGCAAACGGGCTGACTGCGCGGGAAGGCTTTCCTGTTCCTAACATGAATACGAGCCAGTTTCCCTAAAATTGTCCTCCACGAAGGCATCTTCACTTAAGCTGAGATAGCTCTTATGTGTTTTGCCGTTAACCGATCAACATGTAACTGAAGACAATATTGTACATTATTTTTCAACATAAAGGGAGTATAAAATTGGGCGATTACTTAAATTGCTTTCCTAGTTCAAAATTAGTTAGATAAGTTAACAAACAACTCCTCAGCTGTTCACAATAGAA